TAAAGGATAACATGGTCACAAAAAAATATTTCAGTTCCTTACATCTCCAGGCTCATTTATTAAACAGAAGCTTCAATTAAAACCACCAAGACAAAAAGTACTCTAAGGAAAGTAAAAAAGACAAACAATAAAAAAGCTGGGAAATGTCATTTATATAAAAATAAAGGATTAATATGCCTAATATATAAAGAGCTTCTAAAAATAAAGGAAATGGTTAGCAATCCTATAGCAAAAATTGGCTAGAGACAGGATATACAGAAAAAAAGAAATACAAACGGCTCTAAAACACTAGAAAAGTTCATTCTTAATGAGGGAAAGGCAAATTAAAACTATACAGATATATCATTTCTTACCTATTATACATTGGCAGAAATCCAAAAGTTTGACAATATACTATGTTGGTAAAACTAAATAAACAAGCACTTTCATGCATGGTTGGTGGGAATTCAAAATCAGACAACCCACATGGAAGGGAATATGGGAATACTTAGTGAAATTGCATACATTTGTCTTTTACCAAAATACCCTGGCAAAAATATGAAAAGACATATATATGTACGAGACGATTTACTGCAGCCATTTGTGTAACAGCAAAAGACTGGAAATAACCCAAATGTCCATCAACAGAAGGATGTCCAAATAAAATATGGTACATCCACACATGAAGTAGCAGGCAGCTGTAAGAAGAAATGAGGAAGATCCCTGTATATCACTATGCAGGGATCTCTAGCGAATACTATTATGTGGGGGAAAACAAAAACCAAAAAAAAATGTGTAGTAAAATATGTATTGTATGCTACCATTTACCTATGAAAGGGGGTGATAAAAACCACACACACACACACACACATACACACATATACACACACATTAAGAAAGAAACAAAGAAAAGATAAACCAAAAAAGTAAAACTACGAAGAGTTATTATGAGGAAACAGAAGATTAAGAAGGTAATGATGGAAGCTAGATTTCTCTGAATGTACTTTGTTTTAGATATAGACTTGACTTTGTAATCATGTGAATATGTTACATAATTATAAAGGAAAAATAAATTTTACAAGAAAAGTAACCCCCAAAATCAAACATAAAATGAAACTAACTTAAATGTACATATCCACAGCTGGTGGCATAACCAGAGAATGGTGACTTTAGAATGTAATAACCTGACCGGGCATCTCTAGCAGGATGAACCATAAGAACAAATGGAACTCCAAAAAAACCAAAATCTTAAACAATTTTCAGTAATCATATTTTGCTGATTTTGATACTATATAGTGTTCTCAGATTGTTATGGGTGTTCCATGGAACAAAGCAAACGAATAATTATTTTGTGTCATTGAAAGCAAAGACTTTTGCCAGAGTTTAAAGGAAATACAAATGTAAGATCCATGAGGTTAAGCAAAAAATCTGTATCATCAAATTTGATTTGGGATTATCAGTATGAAATAATGAGGTATTTTATCAAAAACCAAACTTTATTCCCCTGGCTATCCACTGAATGAACAGATTCCTAAGCAATGATCATCAGTGTGTGTTAATACCATTAGTTGAAGAGTTGAGGCAGAACTTTGTATCAGATGAAACAGACATACAGTACCTTAACGCTCTGATCGCTATTGACACCATGAAAAGAAAGACAACTAGATACTGTGTGCCTCCTAATGTGATGCAGCAAGAAGTATCATTGCCTAGTAAGTACTGTTGCCAAAAATTTATAAATTACAAAGATAGCAATATTCCTATTACAGCACCCATTTAACATTCAAAGATAAATCTCATGTATCAGAGGATTCCATTTTATCTTTAACATTCAAATGTAAAAATGCAGCAAATCTGTCATAGGACAAGCTGCATAAATCACAAGATTCACGCATGGTGGGAGATGAAAAACTAGCTATTTTTCAAGGTAAAGAAACCACAAGCACCCAAAAATGAATATCTGATAGATTACAGTGGGGTTCCTGAAATATCTGTGGTCCAGGCCCACAGAAAAAGACCCAAACTACTTCTTTGCCGAAAGCCAGTGCCTAATGCACCATCTTCTCAACTCTTTCAGTTCTCACTCTATAACTGAGGTTCATCGATAGAAAGAGGGAGGATTATTTTAGAGATAAGGGAACGGAGCAACAGACATCAAGTTTTATTTTTTTTTTCTTCACTCTGCAAAGATCCTAGTGCCATTCCTAGTGCCCCAAAATAACAACCCAGCTTCCTCTTCCTCTTTGCCTCTTTCCATAGAAAACACACTCTCCCCTACTCAGTCATCCTGTACATATCCCCTCTGGCTAAAATCAAAAGGGAAAAATCACCATGATCAAAAACCTTTACCTAGCATTCAGAGGCTTAAGAAAAAGGGTATCTGAGCAGAACAGAAGCTCAGTTTTTGAAGTGGATGTATTATAAAGTAATCTGTGTTTCATCACTATTTTCTCACACTAATAATCTTCAAATTTTGAGATAACTATGAAATCTATACTAAATGTCCACCTAAATGTGGATCTTACAATACAGTCTAGATTAGTTTGAATAGTTAGCTCGCAAAATTTGAGTGATCTATTTTGGTATTTCCTTCCAATTAGAAACAGCTTGGTACTGAATAGAAAAAAAAAAACCAAGGAAACTTTTTTTCCTTAATGTTTGGTTGAAACCTTACAGGACTGCAGGGTTGCTCTGCTTGCTGGAGGTGGTGGGGGAGTGTTGTTGCTTGTTATAATCAAACACTGGCTTTGATAACAAAGTGATGTTAAAACAGGCTTCAACATGGAGCTTCTTACCAATAATCATTGCAGTGAATAGGTCTCTATATAAGAAATTAAACAGGAAAGGTTCATACCAGGCCTCAACTCCCACAATCGCAGTCACTATGTAGACAAAAGAAATAGTCTGGAAGGGAAATGCAGACAAAAGCATACAAAGCATTAACAGCTGGAAAGATCAGGGAGTCAATGATGCTTTACACAGCAAAAATCTAGTACACAGTTTTAGTAAAAGCAATAAGTATGCTTAAATTTGATACTGTGGCAAGTCTTCTTGCCTTTAAAATTTTTTTTTTCAGCCAACAACGCCATAAAATAACTAACTTCTAGACAGTGCAAGCAGCTGGCTATCATTAGGAACATTTTAAGGCACCTCATGAATTGGTTAAGCCATAAGATGATCCAATTTGCCCACCCACTTTCTTCAAACACACTCCCAACTTCTGATCCTTTACTATAGCTTTAGGTGCAGACGGGCAAAATGGCAACACAAAAAGCTGGGACTCAAAGGCGGGGGGAGTTAATAGCAAGCCTATAAGTAAGAGAAAACAAATCTCTCTACTCACTGAAAAGTTGGCAATGAAGACAAAAAACCAACAATTTAATTATATGTGCATAACTTTCTTTATGAGATCAACAGTTCAAATGAATATTAAGAAACTTCAGTTTTTGGCATAATAATGACACTGTGATTATGTTTTTTAAAGTGAGTTCTTACATTTAGAGATATAGAGTAAAATATTTATGACATAATGTCAGAATTTTCCTTTAAAATGATTGGGAGGAGGGTGAGGAAGAGTATACGTGAAACTAGACTGGCCACGTGTTAACTGCTGAAGTCAAGTAATAGGGACAAAAGGGTTCACTACACTGTTCTCTCTACTGTGGTACATGTTTAAAATTTTCCATAAATACCTAAACATACTATAAAATGAAAAGGAAACATTTTTAAAGCACCCATCAGTTCTAACCAAAAACAGCATCAGGTCAATAAAGAAGGAATGACAAAAACTTTCCCAAAACTCCACGACAATGTTGAAAATTTAACGAAGAACACATACTTACCACCTGGCTAATGTCATATCCCCATGGCAGGAAAAGAATCCCTGTGTTATACTTTTCCCAGTGGGACAGGATGAAAGAAAATAAAACTACCCATAGCAGGAGATAAAGAACAAAAACACTGACACCAGATGATCCTCGTCCAAAAATGGAATACACAGTTACAACAAAGTAAACACATGACCAACTATCCAGGCCATGGTCAAAAAGCTCCCCTAACGGGGTGCTGGAATTGGTTCTGCGGGCTTGCTTTCCGTCCACGCCATCTGCGATAAGAACACATTACCACAGGAAAAGGTCAACATCTGCACCAGTAGGGAGAAAGTCTTCTTTAAAAATGGAGAGAAACAAAATAAAACATATCAGCGTATCACAGGAATGTTAATTAACTAAACTATAACTACCAGCCAGGACGATGAAAATCCAACCTTTAATTCCTACAGTGCAAAGATATCAGAAATAAAATCTGTAGTTTCTCAAAGTTTAATCTAAAAATATGTTAGATTATACCGAATGGTGTCTATTTTAGATCTGGGGAAGAAGCTCTCTAGCTAGACTCTGAATTCCTCCAAATATGCCTAACAACTGAGCTGTCCCACAAGCCACAAATTCTTAAGCCTCCAGAGAACATTCAGTAGTCGTTCATGATAATTTATCTAACCACTCCTTGCTTCAATCATGACACCTGTTTCATCTTGCTTGCTATCACAGTCACTTCTTTACAGATGTACGATCTCCACAATTTTAAGTGCTTTCAGAAATGGCTTTGAGTAAATATATATATTGCATAATGTATGTTGAGTAATTGTAAGAATTAAATTTATTGAAACTGTGCAATGCACTATTCTTGATGCTGTGAAGATCATAAAAATCTTAGAATAAACTTCTAGTAGTTTAAACTAGAATAAACTAGTAGAATAAACTAGTCTAGTAGTTCTAATAGACTAGTAGAATAAATGAAGATTATAAATTGTTACTTCAAGGCAGGTTTTACAACAAATAGTTCACAGTAAGTTTGTGCCCTCAAAAGTGTTTAAAATCGAGAAAGGAGGCAAAACATGACATTAAAGATATGATATATCACAAACCACAGAAGAACACAGAAAAGGGATGAGTTCTCTTCAGGCTAAGAGAAACCAGACTGGCTTTCCAGACAAGATGAAATCTGAGTGGGGACATAAAGAATGGGTTGGATTTCAGTAGACAGGAGGTAAAGGAGTCTGCCACTTCAAGAGGAAGCAGTGCTATCAGCAAAAACACCAAGACAGAAAAGCATACCCTTCAGAGAATTGGCACTGTGGACCAAATGGTCTCTGTTGCAACTATTCAATGGTGTCTTTGTTGCAGAAAAGCAGCACAGACATGTAAAGGATGAGCAGAGCTGTGTTTCACTAAAACGTCACTTACAAAACCCAGCAACTGGTCAGATTTGGCCCACAAGTGGTAGTTAGCCAATTCTTATCTTATTCTTTGAAATCCTAGCAAATGACAGTATTTTTCACAGAGAAACTCAAAAACATATTTATCAAATTAGAAAGGATATTAATAAACCCTAGTTAAAATGAATTAAGCATAGGAGAAAAATGTTAATTTAGTAGGTGGCTATCCTTCCTGACAGTTTTACCAGCCATTGGCTAAAATGAGTATTCGCAATTTCTTACCTAGAGTGTAGGCTGTGAAGTTTAGGATGCCTACTACAATCCAAACCCAATCAGGTACGTGCTTGTGACCTGGTGCTGTAAGGAAAAGCAACTCAGATTTTAATGCAGTCTAAGCACAACTGTTCTTATCATGTATATACTGTCAGTGAGAAATGTTTCTATTTATTAAATAGAAGTTGAAGTACTTTACAATATATCTTGAATGCGGAACTAGGTAAATATTAAGATATATCAACAAACTGACAAAACCAAAGAAATGCCCAACCCTTCATAAGTAACAGGTATTTATTTTGAGCTTTAATCATAACCCAAGACTGTTCATCTGTACTTAAAAATTACTTATGCACCTAGAATGAAAAATAATGTTTCTGGAATTTTAAAAACGCTTGTGTTTCAAATGAACTTATTTACAACACAGAAAGAGGTTCACAGACATAGAAAACAAAGTGGCGGGGGAGGAAGGGATAAATTGGGAGTCTGAGATTTACAGATACTGATTATTATATATAAAATAGATAAACAACAAGTTTCTACTGAGTGAACTATATTCATTATCTTGTAGTAACCTATAATGAAAAAGAATATGAAAAGGAATATATGTATGTACATGTATGACTGAAACATTACGCTGCACACCAGAAATAGACACAACATTGTAAACTGAGCATACGTCAATTAAGAAAAAAGCTTGTGTTTGATCTTTGTTGTTTATAATTATACTATAAGCATGTATTAAGTCTTCAACCTAAACTGTCACTATATTGTTAATTAGATAACAAAAGACCTTTTGATTTGGGTATAGACAGATTACCTTAACTGGATGACTTTGGCATCAGAATCATTCTGAAATGTCTGGACCTCACTTTTGTCCCCTAAGATAGAACAACTAAGATTCAGGAGGTCTGGGGTCTAGTCCTGGGCTCTGTCATCAACCAATATTGTGACCTTGAGTATATGATCGAACCATTTCCCAAATACAGTGGAACTAGATGGTTCATACGATCCTCAAGTTGAATGACTTGGGAAACATAGTAACATTTACATACTTTTAGCTCTTTTAATAACTAAGTAAATAATCTTATTTAGTCAGGGAAAATAATATTTCTAGTTACAAAGATAAACTTTTGAGGATATCCTGAGGATTAAAATACAAAATTTTCTTAAAAAACAGTATCAAGATCATACTTAAGGAAATTTAATCTTATTTATTATTCATTTGGTACTCATGATCTTCAATTACCATTTTATTACATGTACAGAAGCTATGGCTAATATTTTCAGTTGATAAAGTTAAGCATATGTATAATTTCAATATTCAGAATTTCTATAATATCACAAATCCCTAAGTGTTTGAAACTCCAAATTTTCCTACAAAAACAATGCTGCCAGTGATTGTTAATTTTTCTAGGTCAGTGCAGAAAGTCTGCTGAACTCATAACAGAGATGAATTATAGTACAAAAACTCCTGACTACAACATTTACAAGTACACTTATTGGAAAATATATCCTCTAACTTAGAATGCAAAAAATACTCATCTACCTCTGTCTTTCTTTCTATTCCTTTCAATTCCATCAACTGGCTGAGCGATGGAAGCAAACTGTGTCTCCCACATATTCCGCCTCATCCTGAATACACCCCAGATTCTCTTCCATGGCCAGGGCAGAAGCTGGGTGTGGAGGAAGTGAAGACAGGAATAGGTGGGAAAGAAGAAACTGGAGTTCGAGGCTGAAAACTGCCCCAAAAATGCATTTTTCCTCTCTTCCTCAGTAAGGGTCCAGACTTCTGTCAATAAATATTTAAAGATCTAACAACCATTTTCAGAGGAAACTTGAAGTTATTAAAGGCAAGTATGGATGCTGGAGCGGAGGGAAAGAGATATCATACTCCCCTTAGAAAAAGATGATTTTTATTCCATAACTAGAAAGAGGGAAGGGATATTTCTGGAATTGGTAGGTATGTTGGGCCCTGCTTATATTCATTTTCAGGAAAAATTTCAGTCCTAATTTTCTGTCGTCTTATAAATCCAATTACTCTTTATTTACCAAAACCTCACTGCTTTTTAGACAGCATATCTAAATTCAATAGCCAAGTTGGCTTCTAGAACTTAACAGAAACATACATGACAGACTGTGAAAACACAACTTAGCTCTTCCACCCAATTCGAACATTTTACATACCCTTAAAATATCTAAAACTTTTCAGAAATGCAAATATCTTAAGAGAACCAGAAATTAGCCATATCTCACTTTTCTCTATTTGGACACTATTTAAATTTTATATGAAAGTAATAATCTTACCTGAAGCATAAAAGTCAGGATCAAAGTATGCCATAAGTAGAAAATTGAACACAACCAGCAGAAAGCCAGAAAAGGTTATCAGATTTGGAGCCAGCCAAGTAGGAAATACCTAGTTTTTTTTCAAAATAATTACAAAATAATTAAAGTATAGAAATCTCTCTGTCCACTACATACCATAATATGCAAATCTGTCATAATAAAAGCTATAAATTCGAAGGATCTACAGGAGTTATGTATTTTAAACTGTAAACCATAATCTCCAGTTAATAGAAATAAGCATCTCTATTTTCTATATTTTAAATAATTCTATAATCAACAGACTTTTATAATCATAACATTATGTTTATTTTAGAAAAGTTTAAAAAGCATTTTATAAATATGATAGATTCTGGAGCATAAACTTACACTTCAACGAAGATAAATCCTCAGTTTGTGACAAAGGGAAAGGAGGCTGGTAGAGGTATTCTCTAAATGTCTCACTGTACTGACAGCTGCCTTGTAATATTCCGTAAAACAGTTTAAAATACTTCAAACTTACTAAAACATAAGTGCATGCTTATTAATATTTTTACCTTTACTACAGTGTTCCAAAATGGATGCATGATATACAGAGAGAGTGGATTGGTATCCAGAGCACTGTACTGTTAAGAAATGAAAGAAGATACTCAGAGTTAATCCTTGCATGCTAGCAAGTAGAACAATATTTCTCAAATGAAAATTAATAGTACAAAACAACCTGGAGAACATATCTATTTATGATGTCCTCATCTGAGTAAAAACTGGAAGAACAACATGAATGAGGCAAAGACAGACAAGCACAGCCAGATTTTTTTTACTCACATCAACTTCTGTAATATTACAGTGTTTCAGCAGAAAATTTTATATTGCTTACAAGTACTCACCTTCTATAAGCAGATCAGTAATAAGCACACTGTGTGCATTCACACAATGACCTCAATTTCCTTCATCCCTCTCAACTAGTAAGAGTCTAGCTGTTTTACCCTTGATACCATTACTAATGCACATACTAGCCATGCAATCTTGGGCAAGTTACTTAACCTGTCTTAGTTTCTTCATCTGTAAAATGAGGATCACAGCCTTTACCTCAAAGGACTGTCATAAGGATTAGATAAACCAATAATATACAGGCAGCACTTCCAGCAGGACCTAGCCCACAGTAAGTGTTATGTAAGTATTAGATATCAGTAAAGGTGTTTTGAGCACCAAAGCATGACAGATCCCTTTACAGTAGGAAAACGGATTACTTAAATAAGCAAAGGAAGACAACAATAGGTTGGGTATTCAAGTATATTCCCCAACTGTTCAAAGGTAAAATTCAAAGGATGTTCTAACAAAATATCAGCATATAATTATGTAAAACTTCGTGTTGATGACTTATTCCTCAGACACATGCAAACGGGAGTCTCTGGCATGTAGGAAGCAGTCTACTAGGTGTGGGGAGGAAAGGATACAAAATTGGTAAGGGATAATTCTCCACCGCAGAGAGTGGAAAAATTACCAATTCAACAAGCTGACATCTAACCAATGTCACAGTAGTCAAATGCCTGAAAAAAGTTGCAACTTTGTTTTCTATTTATGTTTAGTATATACATAAGAAGTAAACATTTGAGTATCTAATTTTTTTTAAAAATAATCATTAAAGATCAAAATTTCTTCCTGAATGCTTTAGGAGTATGCAGGAAATATATTCCCAATGTGTTTGAACACTTAATTCAAAAACAAAAACAAAACGGGGGGGTGGCGGTAATTAGGTGTTTATTTATTTGTAACAAAGGTACTGGGTATTGAACCCACCACCTCATGCATGCTAAGCATGAGCTCTACCTCTGAGCTATACCCTCCCCCCTGACTATACCCTCCCCTTGAAGACTTGAAAGTGTGATGGAGGAAAAAGTAAATAAATAGAAACAGTTTAAAATACTGCTAGCAAAGAAAGTTAACTAGTAAGTCAAATGTTTATTCAACAGACTCCACGTCTGAGTGCCTCCATGCCTCCACCCTACGCTGACTGAAATGGGATAGCGTGGACAGAAGATGCGGGACAGTGGGAAGAACACGGTGAAGGAGAACACCCTCCGCCTCCGCCGGCCAGAGTGAGAGGCTCTCAGCACGACCCTACTTCAACGTGCACGGCTGCTCTCTAAAATCAACTTCTTCTTGCATGGTTCTCTACAGCCTACAACGCAATGCCACACAATAGCTACCACTACATCTGCACCTCTGCAGGATGAAGGAGTCCCCACTGACAGGACTGCCTGAATTTAAGTTTTCAGAACCGAGGACATGCAACCAATATGAACCCCCAGAAGCTGCCAGTGACAAGGCGGGAGGGCCCTGGCCTCCTGCACTTCACCGAAGTCCACACCCAGACCCACATGATATAGCCAGCAGGTCCGATAAGCTGGAAAACACACATTTCAAGTTCACTATCTACTGCAAAGCTCAAAAGTTATAAGAAGTCCAAATCAGAACAAAACAGTTCACAACATCACACGAACAGTTAATACGATGTACAAAGTACAGTGTGCTCTTAATTGAAATGTTTGCTGAATGAGTCTCATTCAGCAGCTATCCATACTTCGAACTTTGACCTAAGAGAAGGTCCTTAACTCACAGTATTTTGATTTGAAAAGCTCCGCTTTTAAATTCTGAAGTTTAAATTCTAAATCTATACTTCAGGAGACCAGCAGAAGTATGAAAAGAATATAGAACAATATAAAAAGGTCAGTTTGCCTAGCTGGATTTTTTGCATTTAACAAAAACAGCTGGTGAGCTCAAGTACAGCAAGAAAATTTAATATGAGATTACCGAGGGTGGCAAACAATAAACCTAAAGAACACTCTGTGCTCTAGCCTTACACACTTGAGTATTTTTGAAGGTCCCATATCACTTGGTGATAAACAAAGAAACTTGAAACTGTCTTGTGAATCAATAGGAGGAAAGAAGAATGAGTCAAACCTTCCACATGCATGAAAAAAATAAGCAAAATGTAAACTTTAAAAGGTGCTCAACTAGATTTAGTTAATGCCTGTTAAGTATATTGTTATTTTCTATTGAAAGATGTTTTGGTGTATACCAGAATATCTGAACCAGGTGGGTAATCCACTGTTAAGGCCTGCTGGACTTGCCTGATCTTCAGTCTGTAGGGCCAGACCAAGCTAGTGCCCTAGAGAAAAGCTTGAGAACCACAGCCTAAGTTTGAGAATCATTCTAAGGCAAAATCTCAGAACCACAAGAGTTCAGGGGACGTCAAGTTCTCACGTGCCTGACCGTCATCTACGGGAACAGGTAAAACAGTCATCTGGCCTCTTTTAAATGCCTCTGGTTACCAAAACTCATTACTTCTAGAAATAGCCCACTCCAGTGTTAAAACAACTTTTCTATACACTAACAAAATCCTCCCCTCACCTCTTGTTTTCTATCTTGTTTTTAACATGCCTTATAAAACTAACCAGACAAGGGTCCAATTTTTCTTCCAAACAATAATGCTTCAAATATTTGAAGATGGTTTTCCCTGTCACATCTACATCTTCTCTTCATCTGGTTAAAAATCTCACGTTCCTTCTGCTGCTTGTCCTGTGCCATAGTTTCGGTCTCCTTCATCATCTAGGTCTAGTTTTCTAGACCAGAGGCTGGAAAGCTTTTTCTGGAAAAGGCCAGACAGTAAATATTTTAGGCTTTGCAGGCCATATGGTCTCTGTAACAAACACTCAACACTGCCACTGAAACAGGAAAGCAGTCACAGGAAACAGGGAAACAAACAGGCGTGCTGTGTTCCAATAAAACTTTACTCACAAAACAGGTGCCTGGGGCTTTAGTTTGACAGCCAGTGCCCCGGACAATCCAAGTTGTTATATCAATACAAAAGTGTGATCCAGGGCAAAAGGAACATTTCAAGTGGTGCATGAGTACAAAGGAGATTGTGACTAGAAGCCCTTCTTCCTCAACAACTCCTTTCTTAACTGATGTTCAACACGGTATTAATTTCCTGCAGCAATAAAGTCTCACTGCAGACTTACACATACCTTCAGGCAGCTGAACCCCTCAAGTCTTTCTTATACAGACTGGTAAGCCACCTTTCTCTGCGCTAACACGAGGCTGACTGTTGGAACCTAAGTGTAAGACCCGACCTTTACCATTTTAACATTTCATCTTGCTAAAGCCCACTCATCCTTCTCCTCAGGGTCAGACTCAGTTATCCAAGGTACCAGCTATGCCCCCCAAACTCACAGCAAGTAAAGCTGTCACGCTACAATGCTTTCACCTACGTCTCTGCAAAAATGCTGATCAAGGTAGAACATCTAAACATTTCCCTCATGGAATTTTGTACTGTCATCTATGGCGATTAGTCTATCTTGCCCACAAGATTTTCATAAAGTCTTAGTGAAATTCAGAATTACCTTAGATAGTGTTTTTCCAAATATTAGAAAGTTTCAAGACTTTTTTTTTAACTTCAGTACAAGTCAGGAAACAAAGCAGAATTCATTCTTCATTCATTCATTAAG